TCGAATAGTGTATATGAATAAAATTGAGGGACTAAATAGTAATTATCTCTAAAAATGGCTGCAAACTTAGCTATGAAATTCCTATGGTCCAAGATGAAATATTTAGCTACGGATTAACTACACATCTTGGAACAGATTGGATTCATTATCCTACAAAATTTCAATAGCTATTATGCGGCTACATTAACTGCGAGACTAAATCCGTAACTATATTTTTTAGAACAAAAGTTTTCAATAGCTATGGATTTATTTATTGAAATTAACTACAGAATTTTCCGTAACTATTTTTTAATTTTTTTTATAGTGACTTACTCTTTTGATTTTAATTTTTATAATACCCAATTGATGTATAAAATTCGGAGACATCTGATTTAAAAAATTTAGCCACCCAATTAAAAGAGTTTTCCTTTCATACACTAAAACGGAAAAAAAAAAAAAAAAAAAAGTAAAAGAGTTTTCCTTTTTCACTACACTAAAAACCGGATAAAAAAAAAAAAAACGGAAAAAAAAAAAAAAAAAAAGTGTTCAGACACCAAAGGTACATTATGCATTAATATATAAAACAAAGAATTTTCAATTTTTCTCTTAAATTTAATTGCAATGTTATTTACTCAAAATTAAAATTTTGAATTAATTTAAACATAAAATTTTAACCAAAAGACCAATTTGATTCTTTTTTTTTAATATTAACAAATTTATATATTTTAAAAATTCAAGACAGTTTAATTTGATATTTTAAAATTTTTGATTTCAATTTGGTTTTATACAGAAAATTGGTTGGTTGGTTTGATTTCAATTTTATATATATTATCCTATCGAATTTAGTTTATGCCCAAATAATAATAAAACTAAATCAAAATAATCAAACCAAACCGATGCAATTAGATTTTAAATGTTTAGTTTTATCTGAAAATATTTAAAATTTTGCTAAACTAAATAAGTTTAACTCAGTTAAATCAAATATTCACCCCTATCAATTTTAGCAATTGCATTACTCCATAATTCTATTATGTATTATGTAGTGTAAGCAATTCCAAACCTTGAAAGTGATTTGATTTTCAGGAAAATATAAAATTATTTATGGTTATAAACTAGCGAAAATTATTTTTTTTCATTTCGTTTTTAATTTTCCATTCACATTCTTGGATATAGCTTCCTTTCAATATATCCAAACGAGGTGCGACAATTGGCTTATTGAAAATCAAAGAGCAACTGTATATAGCTTGAAAAGGGGATAATTTTGATTTTGAATGCCACGAAGTTTTGCACCACATCAAAGCTGCAGGTAGTGGCGGATCTAGGAATAAAAATTTATGGGATCAATGTATAATAAAATATAATAAAAATGGTTCAATCTTATTTTTAAGAAAGTTTAATTTAGAAAACTGTATATATATATATATATAGACAGAGAGAGAAGAGGGGGGGGAAGACAGAGGAGAGGAAGGGGAGGGGGGGGGGGAATCATTGTTTGCCATAATAGTGTTTTTCCTCTCTTCCCTCTTTTACGGGGGGGGGGGGGAATCATTGTTGCCATAATAGTGTTTTTCCCTCTCTGCCCTTTTACTGCCCATTAACTAATTACTACCATGACAGTTGAGACTTATCTAAGACGGTAACTTGACAACATTGCGCTTAGTAATAGTTTATTGTCTTTTTCTACAATGGGCTAATAGCTCAAAACTTTCAAATGCGTCAATACCTTTTTTTTTATCAATTATTGTTATTATTGTTATTATTATTATTATTGTGTGATAATCTTGGTGCAACATATCTTTCCTCCAATCCAATATTGCAACACATCTTTCCTCCAATCCAATCTTTCATGCTAGAAACAAGCACATTGAAGTTGACTTCCACTTTGTTAGGGACAAAGTGGCAAGCAAGGAACTTCAAATTCGTTTATCTTCTCAAGATCAGCTAGCAGATGTTTTAATGAAACTGCTTTCTCGACAACATCACAATCTGCTTCGTGATAAGCTGACAATTCGATCTTCTTCTCAGCATCGAATTGAGGGAAATGATAGATCTTACATATTGTTAGGTTATTATTATATTGTAAATTAGATTACAACACTTATCTCTAACTTATACTAATCAATATCATGTAACAGACTCGTGCATATATATTTCTTATAGTCGTTAATGTGATGTGTGCTTCTGATATAATTCATTAAACTTCTTTATCGCCATCTCGATTTTTTTTTTTTTTTCTAAGATCCTCTCTTTCAATCTCTGAAATCGCCCTTGTATGGATGATTGTGAACTTCCCATCAATTGATCATGGAGCAATGTTGGCTTTTCTAGGACTTGAAAATGCAATGACTTAACCATCACAATTGTGTTTGAAAAGTGAGAAATGATGCGAAAATGAAAAAGAGAGAAGAAGTGGAGAGAAACAATATGTGTGTGTGTGAGAGAGAGAGAGAGATACAAATTGTAGATAGAAAAGGAAAATATTTAAGTTGTAAAATAAGACTTGTTTATACCTGTTATAAGAGGACACCCATATAGTCAATTAAAAAGTTAATATTGTTTTATCTTTTTTTTTAGAAAATAGTCAAAAATATCCTCATTTGAACTAAAAAAAATTATTTTTTATTAGTTTGATATATGGTGAGCCCATATATCATGTATATATATTGGTTGTTAATCATGGCTTAATATATCAAAATACTTCAGACTTTTCAGATTTTTGCAATTTCAATTTATTTTGATGTTTTTACCAATTTTACTCAAATTTTGACCTTTGTAACAATAGCACTCTCGATTGTTATTAAGGATGGAATTGCAGATAAAAATTAATTTTATAATTTTTTTAAAAAATAAAATTTTAAGGGGATAATGTTAATTTTAGTGCTTAAACTTGGCTTTTTTTCTATTTTGGTGTCTGAACGAGAAATTATGACAATTGAGTGTCCAAATTTGAATTTTTTTTTTTTTCAATTTGATGTCTCTTGATGACATGAACAATTAAAATATCTAATGGGACAAAGTGGGATCCACATATGTCTATGTATCCGCTTACGTGGCCTAACATTTATTTCATATAGACTATCCAACTTGGCAAAAATAATAAAATTACTATTTAACCTCATTTATTATCATCTACACAATTACTTTTCCCCAAATCCAAAAAGCAACGATGAACCTCCACTAGCAACTCTCACTGCCATAACCGCCACAGCTACAGCCATAAGCAACACCGTCAGCACTGCCACAACCATAGGCATACCCACTTCCAAACGGAGTTGCTTTGACTTCTGATCTCAATCTCTTTATCCATCTTCGCTCATGTACATGTAAACTTAAAGAAAGGATTTAATAAACGAAAAAGAAGTCATTGGAAATCTCAATCCCTTGCAAACCATAGCATCATTTTCTTGAGTTGGTGGCTATGGTCATCGTTTTACCATATTTAGAAGAATTTAAAAACCTTTGTTTGAGAGGACTCATAAAGCTTCAAATCAAAGATATGGACAGACTCGTATCTCTTTTCTTGTCTTCTTCAATCTTGCATTCCCCTAAAATCGAATGTCAATGCATGTAAGCTGACACAGAGGCATATGTGGATCCTAATTAGTCTCATTAGATATTTCGGTAGTCCATGTTATCGGGAGACACCAAATTGAAAAAAAAAAATGTAAATTCGGATACTTAATTGTCACAATTTTCCATTCAAACACCAAAATAGAAAAAAAAGCTAAATACAAGCACTATACTTAACATTATCCCAATTTTAAAGGACCTTTGGATATCAAATTATAGTCATATTTAGTGGGTGCCACATTTATAGATTTAGAAATATGTATTTGAGACATATTCAATTAAAATAATTAACTTATTTATTTATGTTTACTACATGAATAATAATCTGACTACATTACCAATTCAAAATTTATAATAATTAAAATTTTTTTTCATCCTTAAAATAAAGATAATATGAAACAAATACGTAATTGAAAAATACAAAATTTATAATAATTAAATTTTTTTTTCATCCTTAAAATAAAGAAAATATGGAACAAATCGTATTTAATCTGAAAAAAATGATATATATATATGTATAACATATAATATACTATATATTGATTAATTAATTTTTATGCCATAATTTTCCAGAATTTTTTTTGTTAAATAATAGAAATGTTATGTTAATTAAATTTATTAATTTACACACAATGCATTTATCAACGGTTACAATTGAAATAAAATTTGAAACAAGATTTTAAACATTAATTAGATAAAGGACTAATTGAATTCCTTTTTAATTCTTAATTTTTTAAAATTTTTTACATTGTTGCTTTAAAACATGTTGAAAAATACTTTTCCTTACAATTCTTATTAGCAAACTGAGAATCTATTACTTACAAATGGTTAAAATTGAAAAATAAAAATTAGCAAAAAATTATCAAAATTGAAATAAATTAACAAAAATTATTAAATTAATTTTTATGCCATATTTCAGAATTTTTTTTGTTAAATAATAGAAATGTATGTTATTAAATTATTAATTACCACATGCATTTCAAAACGGTTAAAATTGAAATAAAATTGAAACAAAGATTTTAACAACATTAATTAGATAAGACTAATGGAATTCTTTTTAATTCTTATTTTTTAAAATTTTACAATTGTTGATTTAAAAATGTTGAAAATAACTTTTCCTTACCATTCTTAATAGCAACTGAGAATCTTATTACTACAAATGGTTAAAATTGAAATAAAATTAGCAAAAATATCAAAATTGAAATAAAATTAACAAAAATATCAAAATAGAAAATATTTTTACATATTCGGCTTAAAATCATTTATCACATCACAAATTGTACGCTCAAGTCGTAAGCACAATTGTCGCATAAGCAACCTCACAATTAGAATCAAATCCAATAATGCTTTTCCTTATTACAATTAAGTCGTTTCTATATGCTAATTACATTGTAATAAGGCATAATCGTTCTGGTTGTAGAGGTGAACTGATAGTGGTGTGCTAATTATAATACAAACATAAAAAAGAAATGATGATTAAATTTCATAAATTTTCTCAATTACATTGCCCAACAAAGTAATGAAAGCCTAATTACATTTCATTAAGTTACATTTTTTCATTGCATTACATCTTTGATTACATCAAATTGCATTCCATCCAGCCAAATATAGCCCTTAGGTCCTAACATAAACGTCATTTAAGACTATTAAGGTGTCGTGTAATAGCGAAGAGTGAATGTGAAAGTAGAATCTACGTCAACGTTTTTTCAAGAAACAAAGAAAAGAGGTGACAAATGTTGGTACATTCCCCTGTTGCCTTTTCATATGATACCTCGCAAAGAAATCCTTAATGGAGGTCGTCCACATCATTCCAGCTCATAACCAGAGAGCTCTATGATCCTGAAACTTGTTTGCTAACTATGGTCAGAATGTCCTTGCCTATCACAAAGAAATGTTGAATGAAGGTCGTTCATATCATTCCAGCTCATAACCAGAAAGTTCTATGATCCTCAAACTTGGTTGCTAACTATGGTTAGGATGTCCTCGTCCACCAAGGAAGAACCTTGCCTTTGAACCTTCCGAAACTTAGAAACTCGTTTTCGATGCCCACGGCCCAGTTTGTGCTGTTCCCACTCATGAGCTCCTCTAAGAACCCTATCCCCACAAGCCTACCATAGGTAAATCATATGCAGACACCAGTGTTAGAGCAAAATAAGTCAAAATGTCACAAATAAGTTACCAGCCAATTTAAGCGGTAGAAGGAAATAAAATGTCAAAAAGAAGAGCAAGAACAGGTATTTGCCCAAAGTACATCAAGCAATACTCACCTTGCACACATACTGAGTCCACAAGTTCCTTTCAATTGATCCCATTCCAGCACCATCACTTGCCCTCAAGTCAGACACTGAACTCCCATCCTCACTTAAAAAGGATCTGATAATTTCCACTGCAGGTCCGACTACTTGTGCGGACCATGATTCATCTGATTTGCCTGGAACATATAATCATCCTATCTTACTCAGGAAAGTGTCTGGAAAATATTTTTCAACTGCTAAAGAGAATACTGTAGATTAGACAAAAACAAGCAGAGAAATGTTTTACTTGAAATTGATTCCGATGCATCAACATAATGTATATTCCAGCCAAACAACATTTGAAGCGTATTAAGCCTCCTTTTCTGTAAAACAAAAATAATTCTCATTATAAAGCTTCCACATTGATCATAAGCCAAAATATCAGCAGCAACTGCTCCCTATGCAGAGAAATTTACAATAGGGATTAATCAGCACCAGAAAAACTTAGTTCAGAGTGGATCACAGTTTGAGGTAAATTAGAACTAGTATTTCCCCAGAAACTAAGTCATAGATTCTAAATAATTCATGGCAGACAAAATTTGTGCACCGAAAATAATAAAAACAATGACATGATTGTCATAAATTTTTCATTGTGCTGAGAAGATTTGAGTTAGGAACAAACAAAAGAAATTAGCATTACAAAGATGCAAATTTCCAAGAATTATATCAGTTGGAAATATTGGCACATATCAAGGGGGTGACACGAACCATAAAGATTATATATACACATCTCAAATGTATATCTGAAAAACATGTTAAGTGTAATAACACAAACTTACTTGACGACGAATAAGTCTTCTGGTATTTAATTTTACTTTGTCAATAGCTTCGACTAGAACAAGTTTGAGTTCGTTATCATCAGAGGAACAGAGAATCTCTCTAATATTATCCTTCAGCATCTTCTCCTTGTTTGCTGATACCATGAAGAGAGATTCATCAGTAAAATCATTTGGACTAAAATTCCTGCCTTCCAAAAGGTAACCTCTCAGAAAATCCTCATATTCCCTTACACCAATGGCTTGTCGTAAGCCTCGGGTATAAACCACATTAGGACTGTAAATATCATAAACCTCACCGAGCAATCCAGCATCAATCATGCAATCTACTCTTTGCCCCACGTACTGATCCAGCACGGGTATTGCAGCATCAACACAAATAAAACAACAATTGAATCTACAATCATCAATGCGACCCCAGTTCTGCCCTGCCACATGCATGATGTTAGAAAATTTATGAGCTTGTAAGGTAAACTCAGATTCATCTCTCCAGAGAAAATATTGCTATTTGCAGTTCAGTCCAAAAATGGCCATCAGGAGATGCAAAAACTTTATGCAGCCAATAATCTACTTATCATATATTACATTTCAAATTTCTTCAATCTGCATATGTAATGCCATAAAATTTTAGGCATCAAGCAAAGTTGAATGGCATACAGAATGACCAAGGCCTTAAAACAAATTACTAACAGGCGATTTGCCGTTGATGCTGGAAACTACTTTTTCAAAAGGCACCCTCTTAAATACTGCAAAAATTCATTTTGTTCAACTGTTTTGAAGTTTAAAGAACTAAAAAGTGTCAAATTTACCTTGAAACAATATTCAATGGCCTTTAATCAACATATTCAAGATAATGATTTCGTCAACAACAATGCAAGAAAAATAAGAAAATTATTAAGATTTAACTCTTAATAATATATAAAGCACTCTTTTTATACAAGACAGTTTCACAAATATAATACATATATTACATGGATAAATATACCAACCTCTGCGGCCTTTCCCTGATAAACTTTGCTAGGGAGAATACCTGAGCGAGAATACAAATTAAGGCACTGATTGATCTGCAACAAAGAACCAAATTCAGAGATCTAAAGCATATCCAGATGGATTTTCCCTGAAATTATACATACAAATGCACAAATTATTGGAAGATGTTGCATAGTCATTAGTGGAGCAGAAAACAAATCAAGGACAGTTTCTTATTTGTACAAACCCCATTTAAAATGTCATCAGGAACTCAGGATAAAGCCACAAAAGCTTAAATGTTTACTTATGGTAAAATAAATAAACTATGTAACTGAGAGCAATGTCAACAATCTTTCCTCTTAGTCATATAGGTTTATGCAGCTGTCCATGAAAATTGGGTTAAAAAAAAAAACATGAACCAAAATAAAGCATAGATATACTTTGAACATCAGATCCAAAGATATAGTCAATATAATAAAGCAAACCGGGCTAATGATGAAAGCAGCATCGCCTAGTTTCAAACATCATGGGCCAAAATCAGTTTAATCCACGGGTCTCAAGCCAAACACCCAGTCTAGTTAGTAGATGAGGTAGGATAAATGAAAAATAAAGCCAGACTCACTCTCAACAGTTACAAGAAATTCACCAGTCTCTCAGGCCATGAGAAGACTTCCAGTCCATGAATGGCAGAAGTAAGAAAAATGATGCAGGCAGAAACAGTAAGAATTTTTTCACATAATCATCACAAATTTAAGTCCAGTGGAAAAAGTAGAAAAAAACATATAACTTCACAAATATTTCAAGGACTGAAAAGTGAGAAGTAGCGAGTTGTGAAGCCTACTTTTCTATGATTATTTGGATGAATTCTGTTAGCTGCAACAGGATCAAGATTTTTAAGATAATCATATCTATTGGCATCATTTCCCCCATACTCGGGCATCTCATCACTATGTTCATCTCCTGAAAACCATACGGAATAAGTAATACTGAAGTTCTCAATGCAAATTGGAAAGCAATGGATTTGCTGTATACCAAGGGGCTGATTCCGAAAGCTTTCATCCAAAGCTTCCAAATTATCATCTAGAAGGAATGGAGTCACCAGAGCCTGAAAACAATGAACAGACAAAAAAAGGCAATATATAAGGAATGCAGCGTAACAGAACCAAGACTTGACATGCTGTTGTATAAATGCACTAAAAGAAACAACTTGATTTTCAGTTTGCTCAGAAAACTTCTTGTCATTATACAGATATAGAGATATAGACAAATAAAAGCTTTAACCTTTACGCAAAATCACAGAAATTTAGAGACGGTTTTAGAAATGACTATGCATCATCATAGCAGCAGTAAAGATTGCAATGCACTGCCACATGAGTGATAGACTGCAGTAATGCGCCCCAGCACTCACACATTTTCTTTTATGGATATAAGATGTTAAGATACAACAAAATATGAAGTGTAATAGCAGGATGAAGATAAGTTCAAAGAAAAAAAAAAATAACAGGACGAAGACTACATCTTTTTTACAAAGCAAAAAGTGCCTATCACATGTCTGGGCAATAAGCTCCAACAGGCCTCACTCAGAACGACAGAAAGTAAGAGTCCCCACCTGAATATAGTAATTGGTACCCCCCAACAATGACCGCCAAGCAGTTGCGTGACAATATTTCATTAATAATCTGAAAACCGAACAAAAAACAAAGGATCAAAAACTATCAAATCTCATCGTTTACTTGATAGGAGTAAAAGATGCCAACTCAAAAAACAGTAATGCAAGAGAAAAAAAAATCTCCAATTCAATCAATTGAAAGAACAGAAAACCTGAACTAAAGACAACTCACAGGAATAGCAGCATTCCGGAATTCCTTTGCTGTGAATTCAACGTTTGGGCTTATAGTCCCAAGCAAATGGTGAGGAACTCCTGCAAGACACATAAGCCCACCCACAAAATCACAAAGACAAATAAATATAGCATAACTACAGGAGAGAGCAAGAGAGAGAATTATACCCTTTTGATCATGGAAGGGAACCTTATTGGTGAGAACATCTAGGCTATGGTAGACCTGCATCGAATCAGCATTGATGATTTCAATGGGGAAGTGGGTCGCTAAATCAATGGCCAACTTTGATTTGCCTGAACCAGCGGCACCCATTATAACGACCACCTTTTGCTTCTCTTCTTTCTTATTCATTGGAATTCTTACTCCATTGTTAGGGTTTTGAAGGACCGTTTGAGCATCTATTGCACTGCTACTCTCCATCTGTGACTCTTGCCTTGCTCTCTGTCTGTGTCTGTTTTTCACAGAAACTTTCTTGGGCTTGAAACTTCGTATCAACGTTGCTACAAATTAGGGCCGATATTATGTCCATGGGCTTTACATAAACCAATTTTGTGCTTTTCTTTTTAAACTTTAAATAAAGGTTATATATATTATAACAGGATTATCCATATGCCTTTCAATATTGAATTCACTTATGATTTCATTAACATCCTAGTCCTTCTGTCCATAATAGCTTCTTTTAATTGTCAATTAACTAAGAAATTGGTTCATAAATTATAGTCAAACTTACTAATGGAAACAGTGCAAATATTTTATGATACCCACCCCATTTTGTTCCGTTTAAAAAAGATATGGGTAGTTATAAATAGATTTGGGACAGGTACGAATAATAAAATTACTACCCGTAATGGATATGAGTAAAATATAGGTACAAGTCTTTGGGTCTCTGCTACCCATTACCTGCTATATTAAACGAGTTCAGCAATGGGTACCCACAAATTATTCATTATTAGTAAAAATTGTATTTTAAATAAATTTGGATTTGAATAGTTTAATATTCGTGGGTACCTTATCCATATGTGTCACGATCCAAATCCATGAGCTGGACTAACACTAGGACTTAAGTAAACATAAGACCCCCAAAACTCGTAGTAAGCCTAAATTAATAACTAATCTGAAATGAGGCCCATCTTTTACTCATGAACAGTAAAGCCCATATCATAAGTAAATTTTTTATCTAAGTTCACGGCCCAATCATATTATCATAATCAAACGTAGATCACGAGCCTATAAGCATATAACAACCGCCATATGGGCTTCTAGTTCACAATGCATAAGACCAAAATTAACAGAATATATACATTGAAAATGTAACTAATTTATTGCACTTAATAAATAAATATCTTAGAAAAACCTATTAACTGCAGAGCTCAACTAAAATCCACTTACAACCCAATCATATAAATAGTAGCTACATGGAAAGAACGAGTGTTACAAGGAATCTATTACGTTCTTAGCTCTGTGGTGGTAGGAAACAAAACTACCACAGGAATAGAAAAAGACTGTTTCCTGAAAAAATTTAAATAAAATAGGGATGAGTTTACAACTCAGTGAATAATAATAAATGGCATACATCCCAAACATTCACACGAGATGATTCCTAAATGCACTAAAATGAACACTCGATCAGTCACGCACATGGCAAACAATAGCATCTACATACAATAGCACGTTCACAATAATCAAGCAAGTGGAGATTTGTCTGTGGCGTTACCGAAACCCTTGACGAGCCGTACTCACACGTGGCCCGCCCTCTCATGACCTGTGCATCAGGGAGCTGATTCCCATACATGACCGATCGATGTAATCCTCACTTGACCAGCCCTCTTATTGTCTTTCCATTCTCTTTTTCTTTTGCATTACCAAACAAGACGCCACCCTGTGGGTTTTCCATATCATCCATATCACTAGATGCACACGGGAGCGCCGATCTCTCCATACATGGCCGACGGTATCGTAGACCGCACTCACAAACCCAATGGTGACCCACTTTATCCCAATTCCTCACAAACAAAGCATATCAATAGCACAATACAAATAATCAAGCTATTCAATACAAAATGCACCAAATTAATAATTAAAATACAAACATGAAGAAATAACTATGATATTAATATATTAATATACTTACATGTTAAAAATAAAATAGTGATATAGAAATTATTACTAAGTTAATATGCATGCTAATGATGGTATGAACTATTTATTATTACTCACAGTGTTAGAGGAGAAAAGACTCTAGTTCTGATTTTGATTCATAGGATCAGTAAACGAGCTCGGACGGTCTATAAGAAGTGAAATTGAAAAGAGAGAAAAGAGTAATAAGGAAATTCTTTAAATAAGAATAAGGAATTATTCTAAATAAATACAGCACTGGTTTTATTAAATATACTAAATCAAGATTCTGTCGAAATTTTGGCAAAACATCCTCTAAAAATATGACTATCTACCTGATTAAGCAATATCAAATATCAAATATTCATTTATTCAATTCACACAACCCATCCGTCGACAATCATCTCAGCTAATATCATCCTCCAATCAATATCACCATTATTTACAATCTCTTATCATAAAATAATAATTATATAAATTTACATCAACTTTTTAAACTTATCTATTTCATCTCACATATACACAAGCAAACTCATATCTTCTGTTACATTTTAACTATTCACATCTTGACAATTATCGAAACCTCATGTCAAATCTTTATTTTGTCTTCTATATTTGCCAACACTCTAAACTAACCATTATGAACCAATGCCAAAATTAAGATTCTGCTGCAATTTCGACAGAGGTCTCCCCTAAAAATAGGATTAGATGCCTGTAAAACAAGCTACAAATATTCAATAATTATCAGTCAAACCCACATAGCCCGTCCAGCGGGTAACTAAAGTCATTCAATTTTCCATCCAGCTTCTAGCCTCACCATCAATGCCCAATAATCTTATTACAATGCCGAGTATATAATTTAGAAAATTTTCTTAAGTTCACTCTTCTTCCTCATACATTCATACTTACGTAATTGTATTTATCTTAGCATTATTTATAATTAAATATGTACATTTATTCTTATACACAAGAACATAAATGATTATCAAGCTCCTAAGCTAACTCTTAAATCTTTTACTAAATCAATTATAGACTTACATATAAGCAAATTAAACCTCAAGGTTATAGCTTTACATATTTTTTAAGATCATTTTTTTTTTTTATCAAATAAATACAACCAATAATCACGACTAAAGTAAGATAACTTGAAATACACACGTCAATTCCTAGATATTCCATTAACAACTCACAAAATCTCCATGAACCTGCTGTCATTTCAAAGAAAACTCTCAAACCCTTATTAACCCGTAGCTCACATGGTAACTTATTCATTTTTCATCAAACGATGGACCATCCTCATTTACAATCTTATTAGTACAAACTTATTCATTTTTCATCAAATGATGGACCATCCTCATTTACAATCTTATTAAATCTTATTAGTACAAAACTCATGAAAAACATATAGCATATTTGCTGCCATAACCAGAAAACTACAATATCACTTCCAAAGCTCGCATGAAATAACTTAATCTATTCTTTACTCATTCATTTCTTATCAAGTTTTCAATATACAACATATTTTCTCCTGATCATAGCAAAATATAAACAATTAATCAAGTTAGTTGCTGCCTTTTTCATGATTTTTCTCATTTTCTTACCAAGTTCACCGTAAACACTACTAAGATTGCTATCAAATGAAGTGGATGAGTTTATAGCACCATAATAAGTTAAACCCAACAAAATTTATGAAATTCTCCTAGCTGGCTGCTGCCATACACCACAAACCTCAATCTCAAATTAAAACTTGTAAGAACTAAATTATTCTAACCCTTATCTTATAAAAATTTATTTGTGGTTGCAATTGCTGCATGATTTGAGTGTTTCTTTAAAAATTCTCGTATGAACTGAACCAAAAACTCTAATTACCTTAAATTCCACATTCCCAGTTTCAAATCTATAATTTAGCCAAAAGAAATCATAGCACATGAAGGAGGAAGTCGGAAATCACCTACCTCACCACAAGATCACGCTGAAAACTGCAGTTCTCCGATCGGTGATTGTCAATCACAGCTCTCTCATCTCTCAATCGTGTAATAGAGCAAGGTATGAAAGAAAATCGAGCTAAGGTTTTGAGGATAGGTCCAGAATGGTGTTCGGATGGCGCGAGATGACAGCTCTTGGCCGGAAATGGCAAGAGAGGGGCTTTGGCGGTGGGAAGCGATCACAGATCGTGTAGAGAGGAAGAGGTAGGAAGGTTTGGCCCGATTCAAGCCTTTATTTTTCAATATTATTGATTTGGTTCGATTTAATGGATTCAAGTCGGTTTGGACAGTTTTTTTTTTTTTTTTTTTTGATTTTCTTGCTTGAATACTCTGGAAGTCCCCTTGGGCTAGGCTTGGTTTAAAATAGTTTTGGGTTTCACTAAATAGGTTTTAGTTTGAGTTTTATTTTAATTTCATTTAATTAATTATTTAACGAAATTTAGTTATAAAAAATATAATTGTGTTTTTTTTTTTAAATTTATAAACAAATACTTTTGCTATTTTAAATGTAAAATGAACTATAATAATATTTGTAACACCCTCCGCCCAGTCCCGAGAGACCCGACGGCGGATGCCACATTCGGTGCCGGAGACACCATCTGATTTCAGACACAGAAAAATGGGGCGTTACAATATTGGTTTAAAATTGATATTTAAATTTTTAAATCTACAAATTTTGAAAATAAAAATTTAGGTTGTTTCTATATAAGAGTACTTTAAATGACTTTTAAACGAGTACGAGTAATAAAAATTTAAACGAATTTGGATATGGATATTTAAACGGATTTAAAACAAACACAGATAGTAAAATTTTAAATAGATATGAGTAATGGTAGTTTAAAATTCGCGGATATCCGCTCGGCTTCCATTTATAATTAAACTAACCTAACTTATGATTTTCATTAACCATTTAGTCCTTCCGTCATGATTTCTGTTAATATTTTTTTCCCTTTTGTTTTAACGGAAAGATTAAAGTGTTAATAAAATCATAATTTAAGAACCTAATAGTTAGTTTTTAAAAATAAATGTCCTTATATTTTAATTTGACTATAATTAAGAGATTTTTTTTTTTCCCCTAAATAAATTGGCAGCAATGAAAATAATAATAATAATAATATACAAGGCATGTGGCATTAGGGTAAAAGCCTAATAAATATTTTAAAGCTTTGATCCAAACTTGACTAGGTTACAATTAGACCAACTTAACTCGATTCAACTAAAATTTTTACTTTTTTTTTATATTTATTAGTAAAAACTTAAATGTATATTTATAAATAATTTTCTACTAAACAAGCAATAATATAATTATATATGTAGAATTATTTTTCAAACCAATTATCATCAAATATCAATAACAATAAAAAAAAACATGGTAGGTCAACATGATACTTTTGATGATATTATTTAATATATCAAGTAAATTTTATATTTTTAGTTAATTATTTTTATTATATATTTTTTATTTTTTAGAGGAATATATTATACATATTAATTGTGTGATATATTTTTTTGTTTTAGCACTAAGAAAAAAGAAAAATCAAACCTAATTCAAAGTACGTGTGGTACATATTTATCATTAAATTATACTTAAATGTACATATTTTTTTAATCTTATAATTAAAATAAAATTATATATTTTAAGA